CTCACATCCTCAGTGGAGAAGTTCTGTCAAGTCCGGTCTGGCCTGACCTTTTCACTCTCCAGGCACGTTTACAGCTCTCCAATACCTATCAAAATATCTACGCTCCCCCTGCCCGTCTCTCTGCCACGAGCATAAACTTTCATCACATTTTCTATCCTTCCACATCTGTGCTTTCTGCCTCTCTTGCTGTGTGTTTTTAATATTCCGTCCCTCACCCCTATGTTTAACTTCAAATTTCCCCCACCCTTTGTCACTCCGTTCTCATTTGTATTCCCTCTATTCTTTGTCCTTCTCTAAGTTTGACCATTCCTTTGACAATGTAAGTTAACGCTGCAGGGGCAGTCTGCTGAAGAGCCAGGTGGGAACATAGTGCAGGAGTGGCAACTAAAGTGGGAGTGAACAAGGCTGTATTTGCATAAGCATCGATGCATTTATTTTGTTCTTTCACATCATTATCAGTAATGACATTTTAAACTGTATCCCTTGCCTTTCTCTCTCCCTTTTTTTTTTTTTATCTCCCCCAGACATGGAATTCATGTGGCTGTACTCTCTGAGCCAGTGCATCCTATCAGTATCTGTAATTGTGGTGAGTGTGAGGTTGTGCATAGCTGTCAGTGGCAGTGGTAGAGTGGCCGACGTCCAGGAGGGAACCCAGGGGATCAGGCTCCAACCCGGGAGCGTCTCATGCTGTCTTCGACTGTGCTTGGGCTGGGTGGGTGCTGTAGGGGGTGCACTCGGGATCCCCGTGAACATGTTGCTCAACCTGCGAACCCCACAGTGTCTGTACATGTGCATAACCTTGGTGTGTTGCCCACTGCTGGTCAGGCAGTTTACCATGTTCCTGTTAATGGTCCTTATGCTGGATGCCCACCTGCAGCATCACTTGGCGGACAGGTGAGTCTGGAAGAGGGTTAAATGAGTTTAAGCAGAGTAAGGATACAAATCAGTGCAATAAAAATGTAATAGTAAATGTCAAATGTTAAGATAGTACCGATTACATACCTTATATATAATACATACGATATTTCTTTCAAATATAATAAAGCATTACATACTGTAAATTACAATGATGTACACTGTTTTAATAGTATCTTCTAGATGTGTGGGCGAGGGGGAATATGTGGGTGGCAAGAGTCAACACTTTCAAGCATGCTTTCAACAATAAAGCAAGAAAATCAATATAATAAAAAAAAAGCAGCAAACATGTCAAGATTTGCCACTGTATGGCATGCTGTTACATCGATATAGGCTGCTCAGTGATCATAAGGTAGCTTTTTTATCACACACTGCTTATACTAGCCTTCTGAGAGAAACAGGGGTGAGTAAATATCAATAGGCTCTGAGGCTCTTTGATGTTTGACAGACAGTGACCTACAAATCCAGCCTTCAGCGGAAGAGAGACAGTTTTACATATTTTTTTTAACCAGTTAGTGTACACCTCGTTCAGAAGCAGATTTCCTACAGAAGTCAGAAAATAATTTCTATTTCGGCATTGTGACATCTTGGTGTCATTGAGAAGTGAGCGCCGAGGCAGTGCAGGATTGTAGAAACAGCTCGTGCTCATTTCATTCTTTAATACGTCCACATGTTTTTGAATACCAGGTACTCCTCAGTGATGACCCGTCAACGAGCTCTATGCGTGGTTCTGCTCTGCTGGGTGGGCTCCGTTCTGTCCTCCTTCGCCCAGTTCATCGGTTCGGACATCCTCGACACCTGGAGAAGTCGCGGGACTGATCCGGGCACAGCTGGCCTCGAGCTGTATGGCAACTGGACGACCTCTTTACCCTATCTTACCCCTTCCCCGCCCCCTAAGTACCACCATGACCGCAAGGTCATCGGGAAGTACCTTCCATACGGCGGCTTCCTGTCAAAGTTTTACGTGGAAGACATGACCAACTTCACCTACGCTGAGATTCACAGCAGCCACTGGGGAGTGTGTGCCCCTGACATCATTCTCAGCCCACAGTTCCTCGTCTATGTTTATGGGATGACAGTGTTCATGCTCCCCTTGCTTTGCCTGCTGGTCATCTACCTTGACCTGCTATGCATCAAGCCCAGGAAGACTCCTTTTAGTCATGTAGACCCCCCTAAACATGACTCCTACCGGGTCCGTTCCCTGGCTTTGTCCCTTTCCCTTTTAGTTCTGCTGTGCCTGCCGCTCCACATTATCCATGCCCTCTTGCTTTTTACCCCCAACACCAATCTTCCTGCCTGGGCTCATGCAGTTACCGCGTTCCTCTTCCAGCTGTACAGCCTCGTGCCCCAGATTCTCTTCACTCCTCCCAAGAAACAAGTTGGGGAAGAAAGGGCATCCTTTCCCCTTTCTGTTGCCCACCTTCCCCCTCCAGCAGCGTCCAGAGGGAAATCTGTCCATATGGCTCTGTGTGAGGCAGTGCAGGCAGTGCAGGCAGCTCCATGGTCTTCAGCCAAACACTCACTTAAAGCCAAAGTGTTCCCAGAGGTCTGAATTCTTCATAATTGAAGAAGCGGGCTGTTGTTTTCCACATACACTTGTCATCATCTTCAAAACAATGTTCCTTCCGTGTTTTGTGTGCCTGAGAAAAAGCAAGTGTTTGAAACAGCTTGTGGACTAAAGAAGAATAAATATAGGCATAGCATATTCCTGTTTCTTGTTCGCCTGTTAACTAATCAGCAACCTTGCGCACAGAAGCCATGAATAACTTGTAAATGAAAAGGCCAGTTAATTATCAGGTCCCACACCAAATGTCAGTGAGAAAATGAAGTCTCTCGGTGATGACTACTATCCTGATCACAGATGTCTGTTTTCTTTGACTGCTCTTCCTGTGGGTCGTGTTCTAAGCCCGTTCTAAGTCTCTGCTAAGCCAACCACCAGTGATGTAGATAAATGAGTGACAGTGTTTAATTAAACATTCTGTAAAAATGTGGTCCAGAGAGGATGCAGCATTGTAGGGAAAACATCATTAACCAGGTTATGACACAATCTCCATGGCTGTTTTGATTAAACTTGTAAATACATCGTGATGCACTCGTGTAATAAAAAGGGCCTTGCTCACTCTAATTGGATTGTTCATCTTGAACCGCGTTGTTGAAATCCATCTCTTTCTGCATGGGACATTGACATGACATTTCTCTTTGTTTCCCCCTTCTCTCCCTTTCTTCTTCTTCTTCGTTTCTCTCCCTTACTCGCAGGGTTTGGATTTATTGCTCGCAATTTTCGTCAGTTGACTACTTTCCAGCTCTTGCCACAGATCTTGTGTCTATTTTCCATTTATTCTCAGACTCGTTATGTTACTTTCTGCTTTCCATCTCCTTTTTATGTTCTCAAAGAATACACAGAGTAGCTACAGTATGTCGAACAAAAAAACAACAAAAAAAAAATCCTGACTGGAATACATTATTGACAGAGAAATCTGGATAAAAAGATTTTCCCCAGCTTCCCTGGCGTCTGCCCATTCAATTGTTCTCTCTGCCTGAAAGCTCTCTGCTTCCTGATTGTGGGCCTCGACACACTCAACCACCTCAATCAATGCCTCATGCTCTGCTGCCATGCTGTACACTCCCGCTTGCCTCGCTTGGGTCAAAATGCCAAGACCGGTGAACATAAGCTGCGTTCACCATCCTCAGGTCATCAGGGTTGATTTTACAGATGGATAAGACTGTGTCTAATCCACCATGTAGCCAGCAGAATTATAAAGAGTTTGTTTTTGGATGTCCTGCTGCAACTCGTAGAAATGAAATATGACCATCATAAAAGGGTCATAAAAGGGTCATAAAGCGGGAATTATCTAACGTGAACCTGTTCCAGGACGTTAAATGGTGAAACTAGCATCAGGGAGCAGCCACGTGAGTTATTCATAGACTTCTTGCTGTCATTACTGGCGAGGTTATGCCACATTCCCTGTATATCATAAACTGGGGAGGAATACGACCAACTGTTATCTGGCTCATCCCAATGTCATTCTTGCTTATGTCTATTGATTCGATAATAGTCATCTATGTTCACAGTGGTGGTCTGATTATCACAAGGTCTAGCAGCTCAATTGTATCATTGTTGTAGATAATGGCCGTATTTCCCAGGATGCACCAGCACTGACGACGTCAGCATCTACCCTACAATCCTTCCTTTGAAATAGGATTTGATTGAAATCTTTCTTTGTAGAAAACACACAAAAAGTGTTTGAACTAGAAACTTTTTTTTTGTCCTGTGAGGAGAAGCACAAATAACAATAGCCTATAAAGCAGCCAACAACACAACCAGGGTGCTGAGAATCGCACAGGAAAGCAACACGTGAAACCTGTTTGAAGGACATACTCTTTTGAAGACATTTAAACGGACAATATTCTGGCTTTATGACTCATCGACCACGGTTGGTCCGATAGCAGCAGCTTCCACCGCTACTTTTGCGTCATCTCGTCATCATAAACTGAAGATATGTCTGGTGTCTACTTGTGTGTATATGTGTGTGAAATGTTTGTTGTCCGGAGTGTCAACTCATGCTGGTAGCGCCTGGCAAGTCCATTACTTTGATTGCCGTTTGACAATCTGTCTTTATGACAGGAGACCGTGGAGCCTTGCCATCGATGGAAGAGAAACGCATCGATCTATCACCCGGCGACCTCCGGTGGCTTTCAAATCTAGCCCTGTGCACAGATGGACACGTTGAGTGCTTCCCGACAGAATCGGGTATTGATTGTGTGGAAGTTAATGGCAGAGTCATATTTTTCTGTATGCATCTGACTCAACCCTCTTTTCACCCTTTCTTCCCTGCTATCTGTTCTTATGATTCATTAGCGGCACCACAGAACCTTCTGTTTAGTTTATTCTATTTATTCTGAATGAGCTGCCAGTTACAACTGGCTCAATTTCCTTCATCTTTATCTTCCCCGCTATATAACTCCGCTATTCCCCATTGATCGAATCATACGCTCCATCTCCTGTTCTCTTTTCACAGGATTTCAAAAACACCACCTGCTAATTACGCAGTAAACACACCCAAAAACCAGTCTGATCCCAGAGGTTATTTTTGAATTCTTTTTAATTTTGTCGTGCTTTGTATCTTTCCCCTATAAAGAATAGTTAGCTATATATCAACAATTACACATGGACTCTAAAATAAACAAGAGTGAAAGACAGGAGAAAAGACGACTAGGCACAGAAGACGAAGAGAGAGAAAGACTAGGAGAGAGAGGAAAGGTAAGAGTGAAAAAAGACAGCAATTTCTCTACAGTAGAACCAAAAACAAACCATGGGAAGTGTACATTTCTTTAACATTTACAAGTATAATAATAACAACGGCAGTAATAATAATAACAACATTAACAACAATCATAATTGTTCAAATAATAATAATAATTAATAAAAAATTCATAAGACCTCTTGTTTCTCATAAAGACAAATGACATTTTTTTTTATTCTTTTCTTTATTTTCTTTAAAGATCACTGGACAGTGGTTTGTTCGGCTTTGCACCTCTATAGGCTAATATTCTGTGTTAGTATATTCGCTTCATAATGCGTTTCAATAGTAAACATTTTTTTTTTTCTTAAAAGAGTCATTTAATTTATGTTTCTGTTCTTTTTTTATACAAATAAGTAGTTCAGAGATATGTATACGTGTTCTGTCAACGTGTTTACTGTACGTATGGATGTGTGCATGTATCTGCATGTGTGGTAGCATTCAGAAAAAAATACCCACCCATTTTATTTCCTCATTCATTCACTCCCCTTGCCCTTCTTATGAAGACTTTTAAACCTTTTTATCCTCTTAATAACATTCTAAAATAATTAAGCTCTTCTTTAATGCTTTAGCAAGTCATATTCCTTTCTTCTTTGTCAGGAACGCAGCCCAACACTAATCCTTTCATTAATAGGAGCCAACAAAGGAGGAGCGATAGAGGGGGACAGATAGAGAGAAAGAGAGATATAAAGGAGAGGATGGTAACAGGTGAACGGAGAGGAAGGAGGAGATGGAGAGTTAATTAAAAGAAAAGACAACCATTCTCCTCACTGTTGCAGCGAGAGGATATAAAATCATTGGAATCACAACTTATTGGAAGGCCACCTTGCTGGGATAGCAAAACAGGACAGTTAGCTTGTCCATAAAGTCTGGATACCGCCCGGGACTCTGGGCTGAGACACTCCAGTGTTGTTAGAGAATTATAAATGAGTTGCTCTACAGCAAAAATGCTCTGGCAATTTTCAAAATTTCAATCTTCTAGCTCTCAATAGCTCCTGCTCACCCCTCCTCCCCCTCCTCACAAGCTGCTCCCACTGTCTCCATCAGTTATAGATTGAGCTTTGTAAAATAGATGGTTTTCTGAAGGCATGGAACTATAGCAGTCATCTGCCCCTAATTCCCCTTCCACTTTGGCGGCTGCACGGGCAGAGTGCCGATTTTCGTTGTGCTCCCCGCTTCCCTCTCGATCAAAAATAATTTGGCATCATTTCGTTATTGTCTACATTCACCCTCTCCCCGACTCTCTTGCTCTCCATTTTCCCCAGTTTCTCCGACTTACAGTATATGGCACAGTCGTTAATAGCTGGTGGGTCTATAGGCTCTCTTTTTCTCAGTCTGTCACTGGTGTGTGTGTGTGTGTGAGTGTGTGTGTGCATGGAGGACATGAAGTGGGATGGAGCGGGATGGATCGGCTATGTGCAGTATCTGTATACAGTCGTTTTCAGAAGGCCGCCTGTTATGGCGCTTTGTATAGAAGTGTGTTGTGTGTGTATACTGTATATAAGGTGAGAGACAGGGAGAGGGAGGGATGGGGGGATGAGGTCAGAAGAGGAGGGGATAGGGAGGGGCTACAGTAGGTACTCCTTCTTGCCCTGGCTGGCGTCGTTCCCATTGAGGAAAGCCTCCTGCACCTCACCATGTTCATCCAACCCACTGGCCTCATGGGTAAGATAGGAACCTGAATGAAAAGAGACAGAGAGAGAGAGAGAGAGAGAGAGAGAGAGAGAGAGAGAGAGAGAGAGAGAGAGACCAAGAGGGAGATTGGAGGGGGAAGGTTAGGTGGAAAAGCGTCATGAACACTGTAGCGCCATGCAGCATTATCAAACCAACCAGCGCCAATATTATTGAGTTCCATACCTGTGACTGATTAATTCATTAGTTAACTGATTGTTAGGTCAATACCAAGCAAGAATAGGCTCTCGTGTACGGTAGGAGCCTATACCAGCAGAAATTAAAGGTAGGAGATGGATGTGTGAATAGAAGAGGCAGAAGAGGAGGGGCAGGTGGAGAAGATAATAGAGAACAGAAGAGAGGGAAGGAGGAGAGATTGGCAGAAAAAAGGACGGAGGGAAGGTTAGGTGCAAGAGAACCATGGCACGTTTGCGTCACTCACAAAACCCATCATCAAACACATTTTAACATCCCTCAGGTCTGTATGATTAATGACTCGGTGCAGTACAGGTTACAGAGAGCGCAAGAACTGCTCAAGTTATCTTCCTGCTTGAGTGTCCCCTTACTCCAGGAGTGAGTGACACTCTAATTCTCCTTACCGAAGTTGACTGGCATGCTGCCAGTCACGGCGGGCCGAAAACAAAGCCTTAATGGCTCCGTTTCAACATGGCTTGGTTGTAATGGTCCTGTCTATGTGCTGATTGGCAGTCAGGCCATACTGAATGCTGACTGGCGGCTTGTCTGGCTATAGGGTAAGTAATAGCTGGTTGCTACACTGCCCCTGGATGATTTCTTGGCAGCTGGGGCGCACAGTTGAAGGCTGCCAAAACGGGGGCACTTAAAAAGATAGGGAACGCAGGGAGGCTGCTTTTAATAGATGGGCCTTGATACACTAAGATATAGTCATAAAACACGGGGACCACACCTACATTTCCCACCCCACCCTGACTCTTCTGCTATTCTGGCCAAGGTCGTCCATCACGGACAGCGCCCGCCTGGAGAGAGGAGCATCCCATCCTGTCTGCTTTGCACTGACAATTTTACACCTCAGTTTAAGAGATTATTTTCAAGGATTCTGGGTGTAACGGGCCTGCAATGATTTTTTTTTCACAGCTTGTTATGCCAGAGAGTGGCGCAAATGAGAAAAACGCACCTGTGAAAGATGTGATAAAAATACTATGATTGCCAGACATGTCCGCTTGCTTGTGAAAGAAACTTTTGTGTGCGTTACCTTTCTGTCGAACAGAGCACCAGATGGTGACGATGAGGACACAGATGACGGTGAAAACCAGCAGTGCCAGAACGCCACCTATCACTGCATATGGTACTGCACTGTGAGTCTCCACCACTGCACCGGGATCTGAGAAGGAACAAAAGAGACAAATAGTGGGTGTGGGTGGAGTGTGGGGGTATATCAAGGAGAATATGGAGATGAAAGGAGAGAGAAGTGCAGGCAAAGAAATAGAGAGTAAGAGAGAACTGGATCAAAAATGAAAGCAAGAGAGATGTTGTAAAGAAAAAAAAGATATAAAAGGGGGAGAGAAAGAAAGCACATTAAAACAGCAGCATGGGAGAGTACAGGAAGCGAGACAGGAGAAAACAAGTCAATATCTTCCAACCAACTTGCATTATCACCTTTCATCACCCCCCACTGCACAGAACGCCAGACAGTCCAAATGGGTGAGAAGAATGTGCAGAAATGAGGAAAGTGAATGAAAAAATAACCTCTAAAAACCCACTTCAGCCAAGCACCTGTCAAGACCACAATGCATTTTGAATGAGGGAAACTTTGAGTGTGCTCACACCCTGAGTAGTGCAGCCCTGGGAAATGAAATCAAAAAAACTGAGTGAAGAGAGATGAAAGGATAAAAAAGCAAGCTAAATTCTGTGACATTTATAAAATTGCAGCAGTAGTAAGGAATTATTCATGTCAACCTCACCTTTTACCAACTTTACACTGCATAAGTAAAGAACAGATACTAAAGTGAAAATGGAGGAATATTGAAAAGAAGTGTAGATTGTGTTGAAACGATTAGTCAAAATGAAACAAAAAATGATTCTAGTAATTGATTAATTGTTGAAGTCATTTATCAAGAAAAAATGCGAAATATTCACTGGTTCCAGCTTCATAAATGAGGATATGCAGCTTTTTCTTTGTGTTTTGTCACTTTAAATTGAATAATTTGAGCTTCGAGACTGTTGGTCAGACAAAACAACCAATCTTAAGACATCGTCTGCGAGCTCTGGTAATTTGTGATGACAGTTTTTTTTGACATTTTGAGAACTAAACAATGAATTGATCACTTGAAAAAATGATCAACAGATTAACTGTTAGTCACAGCGTTTCACTAGTAAATACTGTCTGCAACAACAAAAGTAGGTGACATAGAAACAGAGAAGTAAATGGTTGGTGTAGTAGGAACTTAGGTATCTGTACTGCAAAAAAAACAGCTCTTTGAGACCGTATTTGCAGTATCTGAGTCACTTACAATAACAAAAGTTATTTTTTTTGTGATGGGGCTGAGTGGATGTAGTATATAAGCTGGAAACGCCAAATAGGAGGCAAGGACGTGATTGATGCAGCTCTTGGACCTTGACAGAGCCGAATTAAAACATGAATCATTAATTGAGTGCTAACACAGAGATCAGGAGAGAAAGAGGAGGCAAAGGAAAGGAAGAGAAGGGCGTGGAGCAGTGATTGACAGCTGAAGAAAAGAGGGTGCATTCTTGCACATGCATTTCATGGACAAGCGTCTCATTGGACACTGTGACTGTGAGTGCATCATATTCCTGCATGTGTGTATGATCATGTGTCGCTGCGTGTGTATGGGATCAAATCTGTGAGACATCGGTGCATCTGTAGGCACACGAGACGCGTGTGTTTCGACTGTGATTGGATCAAGCAGCAATATTTCACAGGGGATAAAAAAGGAAGGACTCAAGCACTATACTTTTACCTCACACCACCCTTGTTTTTAATCCACCGCAGCCCAAAGCTCCACAGGAAATGTATGACAGTACCGTGCGGCGTTTCTCCGAGGAGCCCCTCAGATGATACATCAACATCGACTAAGCGTTCACCGAATTGTTCAACCAGCTGCTTTTCCTATGACTCTTTATGACATCTCCACACACGCCCAGCAGGTGAACAACCTCCACCTGCCACAGACGGCGGCAGCGGCAATGGAAGGATTCTGCCGCTCCCTTCGCTTCATCTCTCCTTTTAAGCAACAGACAGGAGACGGATGTATGGAAAGAAAGGAGGAGGAAAGAAGAGATGCCAGTGAGTGTGTTTGTGTGAGTCTATGTATGAGATCAATATATTCTGTAGATATGAAGAGAGGGAAAACAGTGGATGGGTGTGCAGTTTTACACACACGCACACACACATGCACACACACACGCACACACACACACGGTAGCAAAGTAGTGCCATGCTATGGGCCAAAAGGTCAGAGAGGACAGGACGTACGTATCAGTCCGATCGGGTGCCGTTGACAATGGGCCGATCTGGTATCAGATACCATTATTTTAGTAAATAAGAATTCAGTAAAATTATTTCTATGTATTTATTTGTTATATTTTGTTTTACGAAGTTAGAAAAGTAATTTCTAATTCAAGCCTGAGGTTGCGTTATACATAAAAGGATCCCGGTCACTTCCACACAGTGAGGCATACAACTTGTTAATTAAACCCTGGTATGAGATCGGTACTCGGTGTCTGCCGATACCCAAAGCCCAGGTAGCGGTATTAGGACTGCAATTCACAACGGTGCATCACTATGCCTAACACACTGCCATGAGTGTATCTGTCTGTGTGCGCATCCTGTGAGTGTATGTGCACACGTTTGACTCTTAAACCAGGCTTCAGCTGCTAAAAGCAAATGAACACTGTCATTACCGTGGCAGGAGAAAAAACAGCTGTTTATCTAAATGTGGGACACATTAACAGCCTAGTATGACGCATTATTGTTGTTGTTTTTCCTGTTTTGGTCATTTATGTAGCTTTCATTTTTAACAACCTTTTTTTATCGCTTCAAGAGCTTCCGTTTTTTTATATGGCAGAAATTATGCTCAGTGTTGGCGCTTGGCGTAGCAGTAATGTGCAGGTCTACAGAGCCCAATGTCGGCAAGTCAAACCCAGCCTCAAGCACGTTTTCTGCAGCTTCTAAAACACCATTGTCTCGTTATATTTTTTTACATCATGCTGCATGAGGACATCATTCCTTAAAAGTTTGTCGGCTAACTTGTTTTTTTCATTTTAGAAAATTGGAGATAAAGTTTAAGCATCCGAGCATTCTATCAACGTTTTAGAGCTCGTAACAACATCCCCAATGTGTTTTTCTGGTTTAAAAACTGATTTTCCACAATGCTACAGAGAAAAGGAGCCCGATTAACGGTACGGCATTGAACATTAAGCCAAATCCAGCATAGGGTTCACAGGTTCTCTATCAACTAACTGTATATTCCAGCCTTAAATCATAATGGAACCGTCTAATCTGTCCATTAAATGCTTCTCTGAAATTATGAACAATGGGCTTGATGCCCAAAAAAATAGGATATAACTCCATTTGTTTTCAGTCATGTTTTTTTTTCTTCCAGTAATCAATCAATGAAACTATGATAATAATAGGCAGGCTATTAATGATTATAGGCAATAATATTTGTCTATTATTAATTGTTTTTGTTTTAGCTGTATTGTCATTCATGATGTTTTATCATTTTATGCATTGACTTGTAGATTTGCAGTCACAGGATGAGCACACAGATGTCCATACATGTGCACACCTGTGTGTTAGGAGCCACACGGGCACATACATACACACATGTGGGACTATTAATCAAATGAGTGTATGTGCGTGTGTCTTATCCTCTGTGACCCTTTCCACCCTCCATAGCCAAGCAGACTTTCCCTCCCCTACTGTGTAACATCATCATGAGGGAGAATACGACTAGACACACCTTGATCCCTGATCTTCCTCTCTGGCAGAATACGTGCGTGTTTGTGTGTTTGTATGTGTCTTTGCAGATAAATGTGTTTGTGTAGCATCTCCCTGGCCCTGCAGAGGCCAGTGTCAGTCGTTTCCAGTTCCTTAAACTCTTAATGCAGATTCATTAACAGTACCCACCAAGCATCAAAAGACCCACCAAAGACCACGCACACATACGTGCGCACACACAGACACACACACACACACGTACATAAACGCTGACTGGGTAATGTGTGTGTGGGGAGCATCAAACAGCCAGTGATAAGAAAAAGGGAGTGGGAGGTTGTGCTCGGTGCACACCAAAGCGTCTGCAGGCACGTACGCTCATGTAGATGCAGGGCAAAGGAAGGTTGCAGCAGAGGAAGTGTGTATGTGTGTGTGTGTGTGTGTGTGTTTGCAGGCCACCTGAGAGTTATCAAATGACTAGGGTAGGGAAAGACACCAAAGGAGAGCAGGGAAGGACGAGGAGAGAGATGGAAGGTAGCAGAGGCAGAATAAAAAGATGTGTGTATGTTACCTGGTGGGTCCGGAGCGAAGATGGGTGTTAGGAGGGTTGGGGTGGCAGGATGGGAGGTGATTGGTTGGGTGGTGGGAGTGGGAGGGACCGTGGTAGTGACTGACACATTATCTACAGACAGACAGGGAATGGGATAACACACACATACACAAATGCTATTATCTACGACATGCAGTGACATTTCAACAGAGGCGTTGCAGGGTTTCAAAGCAAAGTTACTACAGCCTATAAAACAAGACACATGCTTTATTACTGTGAATATTAATTGAGTTTCTTGGCTGCTCTACCTCAGCATCCTGCTCGATAATCATTGGACGTAGTCTCAGAGACAGTTCGTCTCTTCCAATGAGTTTTGAGAAGGAGGAGAAGATGTACGAGAACTGCAGGAAGGAAAGACTTATTTCAAACACGCTGATCAGCAACTGAGGCCGATGCCATTTCGATACCAGAGACAAATGTTACTAATTATTTTCCTAAATTGGCCGTGTGTGCAAAATGGAATCGATCTCAACCCCTGACAAGCGATAAGGACAAGGACTAATGATGCTCTCTGGCAGGCCTGTATGCCAGCTGTGGGGGTTAAAGAAGACGTTTACAATGATGAAGACATGCTTGAAAACAGAAGGCTGAAGGGAATCATACCTGGCAGACTGACATTCATCTACGAGGCAAAAGGAATATATAGGAAAACACATTCTCTATCACTGACACATTTTCTATGGCACAATGTCAGGAGAGACAGAGACATTGTCTGTGACAGATGCATTCCCAATGGAGCAGTGCCATGCAGGGACTGTCTCATTCAATGCAGAACAATAGCTTGGATCGTGACACATTCTCCGAATCAATGGCTGAGACACAATGGTAGGTAGAGAGGTAGAAAGAGACAAGTTCATATTGGTGTTAAAGACCAAAAAATAATGGCTGACAAGAACTAAAAGGGAGATGGAAGAGTGGGTGTGAATGTGTGTCTATGAGTGCATCAGCACTTTAAGAGTGAATAACATGCCACTTCATCAAACATTCTCTATAAAACCGCAATATGCGAGGTAGTCAATGCACTCCAAGTCTCAGGACACACACACACACATACGCACATGCACACACAGCTTGTTTTGAAATACATGCAAGCTTGTGCACACACATACCCAGACCACATGTTTGTGCACTTGTACACACATATGCATAATTGGCTATGCAAAGTCACATACAACACACCCACAAAGGCAAACAGGAGGAATACAGTACAAGCACACACACACACACACACACACACACACACACACACACACACACGCTGCCCTTTCTGCTCAGGAGTAATTTATTGGTAAGTATTCCTCTGTCTCTCCCTTTCTCCCAGTGGCCCTGAGATCATCAATCTCTTTTTGCACTCTTCTTATGTCAGCACTATACCTCCCCCCCTCCTGAATTTTTGAAGCCTTGGTCTTCTTCTCTCTGCGAAGAAATATTACATGATGTGTAGTGTATTTTGCGGGAAAGACAAAGAGATGAGAAGAGTTTTCTGTGAAGTAAAGTGAGAGAGAGAGGGGGAAAAGGAAAAGAAACTGGACCAGATGGAGAGAAAGTGACAATAATAGACGTATGTGCATCTGTTGCCGCTCTCCTGTTTGAGTGCATATATGTTGCATGTGCGTGTGGATACCAGCATGCGTGCACGTGGTTGTCACTTGAGCCCGAGGATTAATGGCTGGGGTTGCCGCACTAATTAACTGGACGCTGATTAATTTCTCTTGGCTTTCACGAATGACCTAAAAATTGTTCTTTCTCACTATGTTCAACTTCTTCTTATCGTTCCGCCGTCATCCCTCACTTCTTTTTTCCTTGTTCTTCTTCGACCAAACTCTCCGCCCCTCATTTGCACCCTTCCCTCCTTTACTTTCCTTCATTCGGCTGCCTCTCTGGTTTCCCTTCTCTGCGACTACGTTCCCACACTGCCTCTCCTCAACTTAATTAAGGAGAATGCCATACAGCTGTCGTCCTCTTGGCCGATAGCGTCCTTTTTTTCCCCGACATCATATTGTTATTCATTAACACTATATGGCTGCCAATCAGGCACACAGCCCATGTTATTTCTAGGGACGGATGTGGCGGCACTCGGGATAATGACGTTTTCTCCTCGTATCTCATTCTCGCAGAAGTGCGCCTGAGGATACTGCGCCGCCATTTTGGATGAGCCCCGTTATTCTTTCATGTTCGGTGTTCCTGATTATAAGGGCTTCGCCCAGAGCAGTGGTGGCTCCAGCTGTCAATCAGTGCACTGAATGCTGGACATTGGTCAGGGGTCCACTGCGGAGGCCATCAAGGCCGACACTGATTGGCTGAGGACTCATTCAACATTCACTTAGACGCCAATAGAAGTGCATTGTCGTGTGTGGAGGAAGACTGCCAAAATGAACTATGCATTATCTAGCTTCCTCTGCCACTAGCCCCAAACCTTTTTCCACTTTCATTCTCATTCCATGTTTTTTGAAAGTCTCACTTCATTAAATGGAGGACTATGTTTTTCATTCCAATTATCCTGACGGCTCATTACAACAGCCGAGGAGACACAGACTAATCCCTGGTCACCTAGCTTCCCTCTCTATCTCGCTGCGTACCCATCATTTCATCTTCCCATCACTCCCCTATGCTTTCTATGAAACCATTAGTCTCTCTATTCTTCCCGTGCTCCCTTCCCTGCTCTGTTTCACCAAAATACACACACTCTCACACACACACACACACACACACGGACACCTACACACACACACACACACACACACACGCATTTATGTGTGTTACATATATGCAAACCAGAAATTTGTATGCCCTCATCTGTAGCTCTCTCTCCCTCGTACACACACTCTCCACACTCTCTCATGCAAATCAATTCTAATGGGTTTTATTGGCTTGGCGATTCATCTGAGTGCAGCAACTCAGTTCAATTACATACGGAAGCCCTCCGGGCTTTCACCAGACAATCAACAACACTTTCCTCTCAGTCACATGCACAGACATTCACGTGCACCTGTGCGTATATACAGTACATACATAAAAATAAAAAAAATCCAATTTCTCCTTAACAATGGTGGCACAGAGATGAAACTACCAACAGAGGCCTCATCCATTTCACATTCCGCAGATACTTGCTGTGTGTGTAATGCGTATGAATGTGTGCGCTCTGTTATTCGTTCAAAACAATTTCTCACATTTACATCATTAGGGACTTTCTGAAAGTTTCAAAAAGTTTATTTCCTCGATCAACTTACACGCACTCTTTCTCTAAATCATAAACACATAAAAGCGCATGCGCACACACTCACACACAGACTTGCATGTACACACAAGTATGACCGGTCAAATAAAGCTCAAGTTTAGTGCATCACATCGTCGCCACGGCCCCGGAGAGCTTCCCACCTCTCGCTCTTTGTTTTCCTGCGCCAGCATTAAGCCCATCTCTCCTCATAAAGTGACAGTGCCTAAAGCACCTGTGACAAATTGGCACGCACTTTTGCCTGAGTTTGTACTCCATGTACAGACCCTGATGGCAGATAACTCTCGCAGAGGGAAGGTTGACACGAAATGAGAAGGAGAGAGTCGAGAGAGAGCACTGGTAGTTTTTCTGCATCTGCAATAAAATTGTTTCTTTTCTGCCGAGTCATCATTTACAACACACATCCTCCAGCGCGCCCTCCTTGCCCCCCTTCCTCCCCCAGTGCACTCTGGGATTCCCTCTGGGAAGGCTAGGAGCCAACTAAACCGCCATTCCGTTTATCTGACAGGTTGTGGTAGTGCATGTTAACCTGCGTTCGACCTCCATCGCCCTTCTTCTCTCGCTTTTCATTCCTCCATCACTTCCTCCGACCTTCTTTCCCCCTTCCCTTATCCCTCCATCTATTCCCACCAACTCCTCACTCAGTTACACTCACTGCTCTCCGTGGCGTATTCTAAGAAACCTCGGCCTTCTTTGAGTAAAGAGGCTGAACTGCAGCTGAACCGAGAACAGAGGGCAAACTGGTGACAATGTGAAAACCAGTTGAAAGGGTGTGGGAGGAGTGGAGAGAGGAAGAGGAAGTGGACAGTAGGTGTAAAAGAGGAGAGACCGGCGGGCTGAGTAAAGGAGAGGACGGATGTCGAGGAAAGGAATGGGGATTGGGAGAAGACAACGAGAGATGGATGGAGAGTTGTGAATGAAAGAAAAACAATAAGAATAAGAAAAGCTGCAACAATGAGAGTATCTGTTTTTATATCGCAAGTCTTAAGGAATAAGCAAAGAGCTTTGTTACTAAATGAGATATTCACAGTTTGAAAAAAGTATAAATAAGACACCTGCAATAACAATGTGGGTTCTAGGAAGAAAAAAAGCACTCTCTGTTAGAGTCATGAGTCATCTTAACATATTTTACATAATGGAATCGTATTTATTTGCAATACTGACTGATGAACTTGGTATTCAATCATCAAAAAGTAGAAGTTCACTAACACCATATTAAACCATCCATCTTGGTTTATTTGCATTAGCAATGATGTAGAGCACACACACTGTTTCATAATAATCTAATATTTACAAAGACACACATATCACTGGAAACATCATCGCCTGAATGAATGAGTTTATCTGACATTTCTTGCGAGAGAATCAACACCACGTTAGTCAGATTATTAGCTGTGGCGTGGAGGAAAATCTAAAGTGACTTTCTGTCGTCTGCAGATTAATATGATGGCTGAATCAACATCTCTGAGCTCTTTGAGATAAGGTTTGAAACAATCTGCCTCGTGGGCGAGTACATGTTTTTTTTTTGAACTACAGCAAACCACTACTGATACGCGGATACAGCGGGAGGGTTTAAGAAGCTGATTGCTGGAAATCCGTGGTGCAGAGCAAAGGAGTTGAAGCCTGGCTTATGTTGGTTATGTGGATTTCTGGTCTTTTATGGATTTTGATCGAAGTAAGATTCCTTACTTTAAATGTACCCCTTTTTTTCCATAATAATAGGAAAAAAAACTGCAAGATAAATCAAATTGAAAAAAAAATTGAAAAAAGATAAATGACGAAATTTAGGAAAGACGAAACGGCAGACAGAAGATCAAATGAAGAAGACAGCTCAAAAACGGTGAGGGAGGAAGCTGAGGAGGAGGGAGAGAGACAGAACATTTTTCTACAGAGGTGGCAACACACATCAAAGCTCGACATGTCTAACCTTCTAGGATAGCGGGAGAGAGACAGAGAGAGACAGAGAGAGAGACAACAGGAAAGGGGGAGTGGATGCGGATGTCACCTTTCATCTTGCCACTGTTGCCACCCTTGATGCCTGTGGAAAGCTGCCATTATGTGTGCTGTTTGATGCTGTGCTTGTACAAGAGTGTGCGATTGTTGTGTGTGCATGTGAGAGAGAAAAGAGAGTGTTAGTGTGATAGATAGATGAGGGGGCGCTAACCAAAAGCAGCCTAAAAATGTTACATAAGATATCATGCTTCTCCTCCCTCCATCCGTCTGCTTCTGATCTCCAATTCAGGTGCTTGGGTGCAATGACAGGAGCAGCCAGAAGGCTGAGAGCAGCCTAAATAATAATGCAAAAAGGTAGACCTGCTGAGTGGCAGTAGTGTAATTAGGCCACGGATTGGATGCGAAACAATAGAAGCCTCTAATGATGAGCTAGCTTTGCTGCGGTCCCATTAAAATCTCACAATTCCAATTTTGTCCCTGTTTGACTGCAAGTTTACTCAGTTGTTTTATGAGTGGATTACGCAACATTAACACGCATCCAAAAACCTTGTTTTCAAAAATGTGCTTCAAACTCGGGGAGAAAGTTGGCCAATTTGTCTCATTTTCTGAAAAGTAACTGTCATGGTAACAAGATTTCCAGTGATGTTGCAAGCTCCACTGTCGCCTTCTTTGAGCCACGGTGTGCAGTATATCTGGGTCAACCTTCATTAAGAATTTAGCAAACCACCAGTGAATCGAGGTGCAACATCTCGGAAAACTTGCAACGGCTGACAACAAAAGCCAACATCTCCCCCCCCCCCCCCCCCCCCACTGACTGATACTTCTGCTCAAGCAACAAGCAAAGTTGATTCGCTTGAATCTTAAATGCAACAGATGTTTCACTGTTTTTTTTTGTCAAATGTTACCAGGTAAAATGCAGGATTCCAACAGATTGCATTAATGCTTTGCAGTGCGTCTGTTGTCTTTGTCTCCTTCATATCAGCTTGTATTGTGAAATTCATGTAGTTGTCAAAACATCTCGAATCTTTATTTATCGCACTTGACTGTTAAAGTTACTCTGAATTCCCGGAAGAGAGGATTGGGTCGCAGGGGACAAGATCAATTGGTTCTTTACAAGAGATAGCCTGAATAATTATGTTGGTGACTAGTATCTGAGCACGGTAGCCCACGTCGTCCTGAGGAATCAATATCTCTGTTGAATTGATTCAGGAGGAGCTTTAGCAGAGGTTTCCTGCTGTGTACCGAATCAGGAAAACAAATAAAGCCGAAAGACAGATGAGACAAGCATCAAGATTTAATGGATCTGTCGCCCAGTGCCAGAATAGCCAGACTCCAAAGACACTGGGAAGATAAAAGGATCGATAAAATATAAAAGATTTCTCAAAACAATAACATCAAAACACAAGAAAAAGAAATGTAACAAACAAAAGATCCATTGAACGTAACATTATTCTTAGCAGTGAACAATTACCTGGGATACTAAAACTGGATATGAAAACAATGGAGAAAAGGAATCAATGGAGCAAACTTTTCAAGCACACACAAAAACTTGCAACATATAATCAACCGTCAAGCCATCTACTCACCATAGACCAATAGGGTGTAATGATCGGCAGCGCGTCCATAGTTGTTCTGGGCCTGGCACAAGTACGTCCCGTTGTGTGATTGGCTGAGACGGGAAATCTGAAAGGTGGGGCCAGAAATCTCTGCCCTCTCGGGTAAGGACTCATTAATCTTGGACCACTGAATGTTCCTGGGCCTGATGAGGAGACAGAGAGAGGTTTCATGTTTAAAAGCGCTGAAAGGATATGTCAATCAATTCCCTTGGTTTTTGATAATTGATTCATTGTTGAAATCAATTTTCAAAGAAAAATGTCCAACATTTGCTGTTTCCAGCTTCTCTGCTGTGAAGATGTGCTGCTTTACATAACAGTAAACTAAGTATTTTTGGGGTTTGGGCTGTTGGTTTGACAAAAGAAGTCATTTGAGGATATCATCTTTGGCTCTGGGAAATAATTATGTATTTCTTTTGACATTTCATAACGATTAGTTAATCAATTGAAAAAGAAATGAATAAATTCGTTGAAATAATTATTAGCTTTACCCGTTCACTTCAGAATTCCAACTTCATAAACTTGCCCCTGAGCTTCACATAGCCTCACACATGCATGCACACTCATATTGGCAAATAGTCTAACTTAATCCTGCCACAGTATTATGTTCAACCTCTTACATATGCCAAATAAATGCTGCGATATTGTATATTATTAATTCTACTAGTTTTTCATGTTATCTCTACAACCACACGTGTTCTGCACTAATGCACTACTTTGTAATGTGTTGACTTGTCCTGTCTAACTAATACCACAGTAGAATAATAGTCTCAAAGGAATACTCCACCCAAAAAATGCCCATTTGTTTGTCAATTACTCACCCCAAAAGAATCCCAAAACGGAAAAAAGTCTTGAATTGAAGTAAATGGGGGGGGCTGCGTTTAACAGCAGCAAAACTACAGTATATCAAAACATCTGTTTACAAACTCTCATACAAATCAGGCAGCACAATCCAAGTCTTATCTATCTAGTCGTATGTGCAGAACCCAAACACATCTTCACTAAAACCTTACCACCGAAAACACTTCGGACTCGCACGGATGAGTAACGTGCCTGCCCAAGTGTGAGACCGTGCTATGCCCAAGTAAAGTACGTAAAACAGCGGCCCCCGTTTACTTCAATTCATCAGGACTTTTCTCTGTTATTTGATTCTCCTCCCACCCTGGAGGCATGTGAGAACAACAAAGTTCTCTTCAAGAATTCAAGGTAACGGGGTGAGTAATCGATACACAACTGGTCATTTTGCAGGCAAAGTATTCCTTTAAATACATTTAGTAAAACCCGGAGGTGCTAAAGGGTATTCAAAATGTGCAACTGAAAGAAGACAAGGGATCGAAGCACAGGCACCGGGGGATGCTATAAAAAGAAAGGTGAAGAAGGAGTGTAAAGAAGCCCACAAGGGAAAGTTGACATGAGAAGAAAGTATAAAAGGGGCTTGGAGAAGGAGCCAATGGCAACAGAGGGCTGTGTCCCGACCAATTATGAGGAGATGGATGGTCAGAGGGCGGTGATGGTGTGAAAGGGTTGGCAGGAGGTAAGGGAGGGCAGATGAGGTAGAAATAGGGTGTCAGATGAGCAGAGTGGAGAAAAAAGAAAGAAAGAAAGAAGAAGGGTGGAAAGAGTGTTGCTAGAGGAGAGAGATGAAGAAATGGTGTGCCGGGAGATGAAGGGAAGGAGCAGGCGGACAAAATGAATTGGTCATGAAAGACGGGAAGGCAAAGGAGACAGGAGGTGCGAGGATTACTTAGACATCCTGGCGAACAACGCTGTGTGTGTACGTGTGTGTGTGTCTGGCTGAGTGTCATGGCTCATGCCACCCTGGACAGATTAAAATCCTGACTCATCTAGTTTCTAATCCCTCAGGACGGCTAATTAAACCTCTTTCTTGCTTAGTCACACACACTCCCTCACTCATCCAACACGCACTAACAAAATGCCCCTCTGTTTCTCTCTCTCTAACACACACATATATATATATATATATATATATATATACATACATATATACATACATACATATACATACACACATATACACATATATATATATATATATATATATATATATATATATATATATATATATATACTCCCACACACGGTAGGTCCTTCAAACACTAACAAGCGGGCAATTAAGCAAAATGACAAGACGTCATCTGCATCTCTCCTCCTAATAACAGACAAACAATAAGTGTACCCTCCACCAAAAGGAAGTGGCATATAATTGGTCATTAATACTTAATAGGCAGTTAACAGGGCCAGGGAGCAAGCGGGAGGGCGACAACGGGACAGTAACGTGTGTGTGTGTGTGTGTGTGTGTGTGTGTGTGTGTGTGCGCGAGTGTGTGTGCAGTTCAGCGTGAGATAAGGGTCAGAGTCCAGAGTGGCCCGCTGTCCCATCTCTCACTGTCACATACTTGTGCATGCACCGCACACCCACCCACCCACCCACCCACCCACACACACACACACACACACACACACCCACACACACACACACACAGAGTTCCCAACCAGCCGTTACAAAGCCTTAGTGGGGCTATAGCCAATACACTTCTCAGCCAGTCCTCACTGTGGGATTTCACTAAAGTCATCACACACACACACACACACACACACACACGCAAACACTTTGGCTGCATGCAGCTTTACTGGGGAGCTTTGGTGGACTTGATGCCCACAGACAGACAGACCATCTAGGGGAGAGTTTAAGAGCTTAGGACCCAATACCCTTCTGGAAAGTGCACAAAGGGCTGCGAACACACCAGAAAAAGGCTTTATTTCATAGCTGGCTCTTAAAAGTGTTGAATACTGATTGGGTTTAGAAGCTCTACCATCGCACACAGAGTCCCATACAAGTTTACGATATGTCCACATTTACACTTTGCTGGTAACCTCTCTGCCTTCGTCTTAAGCTTCTTTTCTCTCTGTCCTTCATGCAATAAAATATGGATCAGGTGGTTTTTATCTGTCCATCAAACAGTAAATGTCAGGTTCGGGTTATATAACTTGATTTAACTTTCTCTAGTGCCTTGGACAAGGTGTCAATCTTATATCCCTTCGCACCGTTGGTTCGAGCTATAGATTTCCAGAGAGATGATGTCTAATAATGAGAGACTCCGTTGGGAAATCTGAAGTTTATGAGAATAGCGTCTGTGACTGTTTACAAATGTTCATACCCTTCCCAAGATAGGGTCTACATTGTTTCCATGTGGCAGTTTTTGGATTCAACATTTATTACTTTTACTTTATTATAAGAGACAAAGATCCCTCTGAGCAACAGTTGAATAAGAACAGAAGAAATCACCCGTCACTGGTAAGAGAAACTGGAAGCTTAGCAAATGTGTGCAGTTTTAAAGGGAAGAAATATCAAGCTGGAGTATTAGCAGGTGTGTTGCTTCAGCAAAGCTATTCTTAAAATGTGACAATACAAATTGGATCACAGAATATCAGCTGAACATACTATGATGACTGACAAATCACAGTTTAAACCTATTCAATCTAACTACTGAGTAGTCTGCAGGGGACCCAAATAATAACAGCTACCCAAAATATTTAGAGCCCAAATGCAAGCACTTGGGTCACTTCTGCTTTTCTGACTGGAAAAAAAAAAATCTAAATCAATGTGTATTTTGGGGAAAAATGGTTCCAGCAGTATTCTCCCCTGGCATGTAACTGAGGACGTGGAGTAAACATAAGCTTTAATCAATTAATTCTTCTGCATTCGGGGACAAAACTAATTCAAATTTGGTTTCTGAATTATTCTTTTTTCTATTTTTTAAAGAAGTCATTATAGAAGGAATTGACTCCAGTGTGGGGACTCCAAACCTTTGAACGGCAGTTGTTTATCTATATCTATATATACGTACACACACAAACACAACACATACAAACACACACACACACACACACACACACACACACACACACACACACATATTTGTATTCATGTTTGCGTGCTTATGTTAAAATAATCCTTGTCTAGTACAGATGTGTGTCAATGCTGCTGATGTGCTGTTATACTCTTAATCGTCAGCATTGAAAAACAAAAATGTCAGGCGATACCACAGACACAACTCTTGTGGTTGTGATGAAACACTGCGTCACTATGCTGTCATGATTACAAAAATATCCTGATTGGTTTGTTGATACTGTAAATGTACATGTGATAAGTTAAACACCGTTGGTTTGAATTCAATTATAGTTCAAGGGATGATGCATGTGGAATTGAATGGCCCAAAAGGGGGCCTTCATCATTTGTGGAGGACAGCATGTGGCCGTACTTCATTTTTGATAGTCTATTTCCTAATAATTTCCTTGAAAGAAGATGATACGAAGTAGCTAAGGATGGTGCCTAGAATGCACCAAGATATCTTGTAGTAATTATAGGGAACACATTGAAGTTGGTGGAGATTAGCAGTACTTGGTAATTACTTGAAGTTTCCAAGGAAGGCCCCTGGAATTATGTGGGACAGTAATTATACAGAGAGAGGTCAACTTCGTGTTCATTGCAACAACACATAATAAAGAGAGAAGGGGTAAGATCTCTTGTTTGCAGCTGGCTATTTTAAGCTACTTTGAGGGAGAAGCTCTCACTCATTTGTCTTTTTTTTTTTTTGGAACCTGTGTTGAAAGGCTAATAAAGTGCAGATGTTCTCCTTACAGTGATGGCCTGCTTTACTCTCATACATTTGGTAGGCGTCCAGGAGAAAACACTGTTTCATGCGGCAGCCAGTGAAAAGCTCCACTGGAGCAGCTAGAGGTGACTCAAGGATGTTTCCGCTATAGCAACAACATTTTATGTAAGGTGTAAAGTAATTACTTGTAAAAACAGTACATGTAATAAAGCTGTCTGTATGATATTCACAGATCATCTTTCTGATTCATCTCTGTGGCCCATAAATTAAACGGACGATTGCTGTATCTGTGTTCATCTGTGTGTTGAGACTCGGTTCTAAATCTTCTAAACTGCCCCGCTGCAATGATAATGTAAAGAACATCATCATTGGTATTATTTTCATTGTTTTTGAAAATTGCTCTGAGAAAATACAAAGAAACATTACCAGCAGACACTTATAAACACACAGCAGGACTCACAGTAGGACCTTCTGCTCTGACGTATAAGCTTATTCTACACTTGTACTTAGAAAAGGTGCTCTGGCTTAAATGTGACCTGAACCAAAGCAAGTAAAAAGTTCAACCCAGAATGAAAGTAGAGCCCTGTAGAGTAGTATCTGTCCATGTAGCTGCTACTTCCAAACTACACTAAGACAGAGAACACTGTATCCATCATAATAACAGCTTTATGGCATGGAAATTGTATATTCTGACATTTTCTCCATTTCTTTCTTTCATTCAATTTGTGGAGCTGCATGTTATGACTGGTCATGTGGTTGTTGTTGTTGTTGTCAAGTGTCCTGTAAGCCCATGAAGGCTGTGTACCATACCAATGGTGGAGGATACAAGCAAATGAATCAATGCAGTTACCAGCCGTTTGGTAATGGTACAACCTAAATGTCATTCTCATAGCAGCTCAAAACAATTTCCCAAAACAGTTTTAACGTGAATACTTGCTGTCCCATATTATCATTTTGTAAAAATGTAGTGTTTGTAAGGATTGACGTTGAACTTGGCAACCTCCTGCATGTTGCCGTCAATCAAACGCTTTCTGTGTATTCTTAAGCCGATTTGTCAGGACTCGTTGCAGCTTTTCACGCACAAACGCTTTGTCGATACAAACCTTTTATACTTTCTGATTATTTTTGTCAGGAATTCAGAGGAATGAGAGAAAACGCAATAACACACTGCTATGACATACCCAAAAAAAAAGCTTCTCAAGCAGCGTTTTGTGCCAGCTTGTAAATGTGCCCTTTGCATTTCTTGTTGAAGGTGAAACTGAATGCATCTATGATTCAATGTTTTTTTTCAAACTACAAAAAGCCATCATACCTCCTGAAACCCTGAGATTATGGTTTTAGGGGATGCAAGGGACATTAGTTAAGTACCAAAGTTATGTGACAAATAAGTCAACGTTTGGCTTATTACTTATGTATGGAAGTTACGTGATAAATAAATCCATGTAGACTTCTGGTTTCACACCGGACACCAACAGTGGTCTCCTGGGTAAAAGTCTGGTGTTTTGGTTTGTCCTTCAAAGCACTTTGTAAACTGTTATAAAAGGTGTAATATAAATAAAGTTATTATATGCATGTTTTTGAACCCACCCATCCATCCCCAACCTCCTCCGTAAGTGAAGTTGTTAGTGCTTTATACTTCCTGGTTCAATATTACATGGATTACAAACAAATTTGGTTTTGTGGGATATATATGAATTACCGTGCATTACTTTTCATAGTAAGAGCTGCAAAGAGAACAGCTTAAACACATTTTTAGAATAGCAAAACAGGCCGTCATTCAAATTAGAGGACAGCAGTGACTTAGAGTCCAGTGAAGTGAGGTTTCCTTTACTGCCAATAGCAATACCAATGATAGCACATGTGCTGTGCAGGATGAACTTGCTTGCTGTAGGTGTGCATGTGGTTGGTACCACCATCTTATCACACCAACACAAAACAATTTAGCACTCACACACACACACACACACACACACACACACACGCACTTACAGAGGGTTCCCAGAGACTGAGCAGGTGAGGCTGAGCGAGTCGCCCTCTCGCAAAATGCCAGAGGGAGGAACAATTCTGACTGTTGGTGCAACTGTGGGGAGAAAGAAAGAGATAAATGAGTGTGCATGTGAGAGATAAAACAAGAAAGGCACAGTAGAAAACAAAATGGATCGGGAGGGATCAAAATGGAGTGACAGTCGGAGAGAACAGAAAAGAAAATCAGGAATGAGACAGAGACAGCGAGGGAACAAAAAGGGGGGGGGGGGACAAGTGGAAAGTGAAAAACTGTCAGGAGGAAGGGTCTTTGACGTCTGTTTCCAAGGCAACCTGCCGACAATCCTACAGTTGAGACACCTGTTATCATAAGCAGCCCACCGCTCCAGCAGATGCTGTACTGCACTTGCTTCAGTGACAGAGCGATGGGAAGCCAAATCCCCGCTGACAGTTGGTCATTATTACCAGTTCTCTGGCTGGAGGAACCACCAGCTTACAGATAGACAAAACCGTTGAATATTAATCATTGTGATCTATCAACAAACCTTAGTAAAGGCTACATGTGCCAAATTAATTTGTCCTCAAAGACTGATGCAGAAGTAGCCTACTCGCTACATATGAATAATAGCACCAACGGTAAATATTTATATATGCCTATGGGATGTTTGACTATCCAAAATTGTTGATGTAGTATGGGATAAGAATCCCATTATACTGGCAGGAAAACGAATATGAGGAGAGAACAAAAGGATTTATTGACTATTTGTCGACTTGTCGAATAGCATCAGTGACATTGGTGGAGAAAATGATTATGCGTACTTTTAGCATCAACTTTCATTGAAAACAAATAGTATTGATGTATCAACGACTGACTGAGAATCTACATCTGGTGCCTCTCAATTGATGTGTTAATTTGTATTCTGAACTTCAAAAAAGGATGTGCAGACAACACAACAACAATGAATATCATCATTAAATATGAATCATTACTGAATTGTAAGAAAGTTTTGTTTGTCCTCACAAAAAAACAAAAGAAAGAAGGGTCAAAACTAAAGTAATAGAATTAAACTTGACATGTTTGATGGGATAGAAACACAATGGATTAACATTTCATATTAATTTATCCAACAATGAATTTCATCAGACTTTTCCAAGGATATGGATTAGAGCTGTCTGACATTTTCAAGATCAATCCCTCTTAACTGTCTCGAAATTTGAGAAAATATTGTAATTTCAGCTTAAAATAAAAACATGTTTCTATCTGAACTGGTTGCCCTGAGTGAATATTTGACTTAAGCCAATAATAAATTTAAACCTCTCAGTATTTTCACTGTTTGCTTTTGCCTGCCTTAAAAGGAGATTTCACAGCACACCAATTTGTGTGAAAAAACATTCAATCAATCCCACAAACATTACAGGTATCATTGCACATAGCCTAGTAATGTGACCCAGGCTTTCTAAGCTGATGTTGGCGAGCCACTTAAACCACAAGCCGGGACCCCAGTCTGGCCGCAGGCCCGATACTGTCAGCTCTCTGCATGACAAGTTTTGTAGGTATTAGGTTTTAATGAGAGCAGGTCTCATACAGGGCATCTTTGAATATCCCTGTCAAAATCCTGGACTGTGTATAAATGAGCTTCATTCTAAAATTAGACATCCAGCATTTGAAAAATGAGGCTGCTACCCTTTTTAAGTAAAAAAATAAAGATTTGGCAATGAACATTATGTTATTTCAGTTGTTTCCAAGATGGATAGAGAGCGCTTTGATGTGAAGTGCACACACACAAACACACTTCGCCTGAAGGAGAGACTTACAATTCACATCCAGGCGGTAATGTCGAATCCTCTTCTGCCCGCCGAGTGCTGGGTGGAACGCCTCGCAGCTCAGCGCCGCCCCGTTGTCTTTCCTCTCTACCGGGAGCCGGATGGTGTTGGACACGCTGAAGGTCTTCGCGTTGACCTGCTGAGATTCCACACCTGTAGAGGAAAAGAAGACGGGATGAGATGATGGAGGGAAAGAAGACTGGTAGGGTGCCCGAGAATGAAGCTAGCAGCGAAAACATGCCCGTTCTTCCTTTTTCCCTGCTGAGACATCACATGTATGGTGGGAGAGGGAGCGAGACATGCAGGGAGGGAAAATAAGAGACATTTAGAGGAGAGCACAGATGCGGATAGAAGAAGTGAGCAGAATGAAAGGAAGAAGAAGTTGGTGACCGATGAATGAGCTTTTCTTCAGCAGCACCAGGTACCTGCAGAAAGGAAGATGAGCGGTGGAGGACAGAATAAGAGAGTAAAAGAGAAAGCAATTTCATCTATATTTCGTGGCAATTATGAGCGGCAGAACTGTTTGTTAGCAGATGGCAAATCAACTGAATAATTTGTGTGTGAGCTTGAGTGAAAGAAAGTGAGAGAGAGATGGGGGAGAGCGGGGGATAAAAAGAGAGGATATGCATAACCGAATTCAGATTTTAACTGAGGCAGACACGGCGAGAGGGGGGCGTCAAAGGACCAGGGTGAGAGAAGAAAGGCAAAGGAACGCATAGACAGAGAGAGAGAGAGAGAGAGAGAGAGAGAGAGAGAGAGAGAGCAGCAAAACGGGCATAATTGATTTGGGACGGGGTCGAGGAGGGCTGCGGTGAGACAAGTCCAGACATGAAAGAGGACGATAAGAGTGTCAAGCCAGATGCAGCGTGGAGGAAATATGCGAGAACAGAGGCGGAGGGGAGACAGAAGGAGGGAGGATGAACAGCGGGGGTGACATGGTCACGTATTGGGAGTTTGTGCTTGTTGAGGCAAAACACAACAATATTACTTATATCGCGCTGAGTTTTCAATTATTGCCAGCGAGTAAATGAGAGCAGGCCCAATTGAAGCGTGAGAGAGGACGGTGGTGGGTGCAGATGAGCAGGAATAAGGCAGCGGTGGGAAGATAGTGTCTTAATTAAAGAGTGCTTTCCCCATATCTGTTGGGATCTGCCTCTAACCTTTAGTGTCACAGTTCATTTAACTCATTGTCAAAAGAGAGGGGAGGGGTGTGGAGGGAGGGGGAAATGGGATGAAATGAGGAAACAGGAGGAAGGGAGAAGAGATGAGAACAGGAGAAGAGAGGAAACAGGGGGAAGGGAGAAATCCAGAGTAGAGGAAATGAAAGGAGAAGTAAGGAAAAAAGAGGAAACACGAGGAGAGCAGGAGGGAGGAAACGGGAAGGGAAAAAGACAAGAAGAGAGGAAACAGGAGAAGATCAGAGAAGATGAGAAGAGGAAGAGAGGGGAGGAAACAGGACGAGAGGAGAGGAGCGATAGTTTAAAAAGGCGAGGACGACGAAAGTGTGGCCCCTCTCTGTCTCTTTGACTATTAAAGCCCTTGCGACCGATAACCAAGCTGAGGAGCGTCAAGTCTTTGTCACCAGTCAAATTTAAAGGGGAAAAAAGAAAGGGAGATTAGATGAAGAGAAAGGGAAGGAGCAGAAGGGAAGGACAGAGAGGGCAGAGGCAGAATGACGCTGACAGGCGTGTTCTGACAGAGAAAAAGGGAAGAGACTGGATGAAAGAGACGAGTGTCAGACAGAAATAGAAAGTAAAAGAGACGACGGCAAAACAGTGCTCAATGCATGTCCCGAAAACTGTTGACACCAGATTATCTCACACGATTTCATCTGGTCTGTGTGAGTTATTTGAGGGCGGTGAGTGAATTAATGAATAATGCAACACATTTGGCAGCGATTTGTACTTTTAAACAAAACTGTCTGTATTTATTAATAATCTGAGATGAATTGAATAATAAAAAAAAAGAATAGCCATAAGCCTGAGTCAGAGATGCTTTGCATAAATTAGTCCCCAAGGTTTTTCTTGTTCGTGCTCAGTCAACAGTACACGGTTTTTGAGGAATTCTAATCAAAACGTATTTTACACAAATGCTGATTTAACGGCGGAGTGCAAAAAAGTGATTTCTCGGGGGTTAAACAGACTGAAGGCAAGGGAAAGATTGGTCTCAGATGTATTATTGAGTGCCCCTTTAACGGAGAGAAGTCAAGGGAGGCAGAAAGTTAGAAAGAAGGATAGATCAAGGTACCAGACTGAAGGATGGCTCATAGATTTATCAGAAGCAAAGAAGTGAGGAGAGTGAGATGACGGCGAGTTAAAGTGTCTCTCTGTGAACGTGTGAAAGAAAGAGAAAAGTGTAAAATCTGGAGCGTATGTAGCATCTGTACTTTCATGAAATGGAGTTGTCAGATATGTGTGAATAAAACACATTTGAAATAGAATTTTCAAGAGAGAGCGTAGGGAGGGAGATATACTGTATATATATATATATATATATATATATAGAGAGAGAGAGAGAGAGAGAGGGGAGATATCTGTTTTGATAGGGAGAGAGTTTGACTAGTGGACGCATTAGAGACAGAAAGGTCTTTCTAATACTTCCTGTTCATGTCTGCCTTGTCAACGCATCAACGTGGATATACTTCCTCTGTGAACTTATGACTCTTTCTCAGAGGAATGGAGGCAGAAAAGTTAACAGAGTTAACATCTCAAAAAGTGTGTATGATCATTTGAAACTAGATCGTCTCCTTCAAATATTGCAAAGAATACTTGATCAAAATCATGGAAACAAGAGGAGAGGAGAGATTTTGGCAGCCCCACAGCCAAAACCTTAATTTACTCCATCCATCCATCTCAACCTGCTCCCATCAACTCATCCGCTATTACATCTATTTATCCATCAATCACCCATCCTCCTTTTATTCAGCATTCAATTTGTGATAATTGATCCACCCATTTCACTTCACCTGCCCCGTATTCCCCCATTAGTTTCCTCATGTATCTCTCATAATCATCTAACTGTCCATTAGTCCATTGTCGGCCATGTCCGGGTATACCTGCTATCTCGCGGCCGTTACGAATCCAGCGCAGGGTGGCGGCCGGCTTGCTGCGCGGCGACATACAGGTGAGCTCCACCTCGCCGCCCTCCACGGCCTCCTGCTTCACCTCCACCGTGGGCGTCTCCGGGGGCACTGAAACAGAGAGCGTGGCCACCTGGTGATGCGTGGCGTCCGTGTAGAGCTGGCAGAAGTAGCCGCCCTCATCCAACACGCTGACGTTGGTCAAGGTGATGCGCACCAGCCGTGTCGAGAAGAGCACCATCTGGAAACGGTCGTCCTTCAGGGCTGGGGGGGTGGACAAAGATAATGGAAAGAGTAGAAGTGAGATGGAGGTGAGCGCGGAAGTGACACAGCATGGGATGGGGTTGTTGGGAGAGGTGGCCGAGGCGGGAGGGAAAAGAGGGGAAGGTGTGATGGGAGAGAAGATGGGGGGGGTGAGTGAGAGGAAGAGAGGCAAGAACAAGGAGAGGGAAGGTCATCAGTCATTGGTAGAAAAGAATCACAATCTGCATGTGAAGTGAGACTAAATTCAAATACAAGCTAAATGCTGTTTTCATGCATCTATAAAGAATGAAACAATGGGAAAACAGCAACAAAAAGTACTTTACTCTGGGTCAGTGTAATCGATTCATTGTTTTCTAATGCTTCAGGGACAGACAGAGAGCATTAAGAATTGTTTTTGTCATGGTGCTTTGCTCGCTCGAAATATATATCAGACACACACACACACAAGCTAAGACTGACAAAGGGAGTGTCATATATCAACACATTTTACTGGCAGGCTTTTGCTTGCTTTATTTTGAATTTGTTTTTGGATGTGAAGCACTTCAGTAAATGGGTTTATACCTCACTGACAATCTCATTTAGCACGCTGCAGGTTCTCTGGGGGGGGGGGGGGGCTGTTTTCTCCCTGACTGACCATTCCTATCTGTGCACACCTAGCTACATAATCAGACCGATTTATCATTTTGTTACACTTTTTTTTTGTTTGGCCTGACATTGTGTTCAAGTTAGCCATTTTCAGTTTCTGGAAGGCTGGTATTTTAATTTTCAGTTTGTTGGAATCTGCAACCTCACCGCTAGATGTCACCAAATCCTTCACACTGCACTGAGAGTGATAAGAAAGAGATCCTTTGAGTCTTTTATTTAAGCTGTCTCATCAATGACTAAATTGGTTGCCGGCTTCAACATAGCCAAAGGCTCCTGGTATTTTACCTGCACCCTCCTAATTGGCTCGACTCTTTTTCAACTATAGTTTTTTTCAACTATAGTTCTAAAAAAGATTCTCAAAACACAGGACCATTCTGAACGGCCAGAAAAATCGTCCATGTGGCCGGCATTTCAGGGGTCTGGAGCCAGGCTAGCGCAAAGCTGCACCACCTTTCAGGGAGGTAATGTCAGTTCAGACCTGTAGATGTAGTTAGGCTGACGTTGCATTTTACGGGCCAAGAAAGTGAGAGTTGCTGCAATTGTTTCCGCTCTTCTTGCCGATAAGGACGCAGGTTATTTGAGCTACAGGTCCAAAGTGTATATGTATATATATATATATATATATATATATATATGAAAAATATAGTACATTCAAAATACTGTACATTTACCTTTACACAGGCAGTAATTGGCAAGTGCACAGGAGAAGCAAGGGCTGCTTTAACTGAGTGGTATGACATCAGCTTTGGAATCAGTTGTTCCTTAGCCTCAAAATAGTTTGCTCTGTATTAGCAAACCATCAGTTCTATCGAGAACAAGAGTTTTTTTCCCCTCTAATTTGTGATGTCACTCCCATTGACAGCGCTGCAGCGGAAAAACTGCAAAACAAGGGAGAAATAGTGGCTGTGACAGCACCGCAGACAATTTTCTGCTCTTGAATTGATAGTGCTGCTAAATCTAAAGCTCAGTTTGATATAAAAAGTTCAGAGAGAGTTTGCAAAGTCAGTCTCGATAGAGCAGCTCCAGGCTGTACATTGATACAACATAACAGATGTCTTGGTTCTCACATTTCCAGCTTTGAGGGAGTGTTGTTCATTTTCCCCAGCACTGATTGGGCCATCCTAAACTAAAACGTATTCATTCATTCTCTTTGTAACTGCTTGCTTTATTCCTCTGTAAGCCCTTTTCTAATTAGTGTCTGGCGCTTTTATTGTTGATCTTATTAGGTTTTAATCATTATTGTTTTACTTGCTGTGACGCACTTGGTAACCCTTTTAAAAACTGCTATGCAAATAAAGCTCAGTGCACAACCAAAAAAAATCCTTTTAGGAAAGCTATTAAATAGAGTAGTGCTGCCCCTCTGAATCAGCGAGAGACATGCTAAATACTACAATTGTATACACAGTGTACAAAGAATACAACAATTTGGAAACGAGGAGTAAAAATCCCATAAGCCGAACTTGGACCTCAGACCAATGAGCTATACGCACTAACCCCATAATAAGGGAGAAAGAAAAGAAAGCGCAGAGAGGAGTTGAACATGCAACAATTTTCCTTTTGTTCCCCAAGAAAAGAGTATAAATCAATGGTGAGAAAAAAATGCTGACAACAAACAACGCTAACAACAGCCTGGGTGACAGTGGCTCGATGTCCATAGATTCTCATTCGAGACTCACTTTGTATTGACTTGACTGTGAAACCTCTCCGTCACTCTCCATCTCTGTTTTATTCTGTCCCTCTCTTCGCTTCCTTTGTGCTGGGCTCACGTAGGGAACAGCGCACACATTCCCTGATGTAACAACCGGCCATCTCGCGGCAAAATTCATCACAACAAAGACACTACAGTATAGATATTGACTCTGCGTGCATGGGCATGTGTGACAGAGAGAGTGGAGGAGGAAGAAAGAATGAGAAAATTGTCTAATATAGCTACATAATGTGGCAAGCGGGAAAAATAGAATATAGATAGAGACAGAAATCCACAGGGGACTGAGAGAGAGCGATTGAGTCAGTCCACTGTTCCTGGAAGTACACCACACTAATCTCTCCACCCCACCAACCCCCGGAATTTCCCCTCCATGGCAGCGAGAGCATTGTCAGTGAGCTATTCCCCACAGATAGGTAAATCTCCCCCCCCCCCCTGCACTAAATGGCAACTAAATGTCAGACTTCTGTTCAAGTCCGAGTTCACCTTTATTGTCCTTTCTCATTTGCATGCTGAGAAGAGTTGGCAATAGCGGGAGAAAGAGAGATATGGACCACTGAGGAGAAAGGGTCCATTTGGTTAGTTCCACCGCTCTATTATGGCTATCAGTCCCCGCTATCTCATAAAACACACCGCTGGCTGGTCGCTCACTTGCAAAACAGGGCAGCCTGATTCACAGCACTTACGGCAGAGCCTCTATCCGTGCAGTTAGTGTGGAATGGCTCGGCACGGAAAAGGCCTTAGATTGTCGGCCTGATATCTGGGCGCCAGATGGGCAATAGGCAGAAATGGAAGAGCCCTACAGCGAGTGATGGAGTAAACGTGGAGGCAGAGCGAGCCAGAGTGAGATGTAATTTACGCTCCCAGAAAATGTCCCCAATGAGGCCTTTCCGTGCTTACGGGAGCCAAATTAGTTACGGGAAGCCATCTATACTTTATCTCTTGCCTAACCTTTGGATCATTTCCCGGTGCTGTGTCTTCCTTAACCCTCCACACGTTCGTCTCATTCACCCCCACTCTGTTCTCTATTCTGTCATTTTCTCTTTCCCTCAGCTCTGACACCCTGTCTTCCTCCTCACTCTGATTCGGCTTCACGAAGAGTGCAAGTCAATGTCTTGGGGGAGAACATATGGGGCGGCTCTGTTTCAGTACTTAATCAAACTTACCAGCAGTGCTGATGTGATTGCATTGGGGGGGGGGAGTTTTCCAAATGCTGCGACGTCAGCTACCCAATTAAGGGCCACTCCGTGATCGAGGTGTAGAGCAAAAGTATTTGAATGTTGTATCAGTGAACAGTGAAGGCATCTCTTTTGTCTTCAGTATTTTAGTCTGATCTCAGCGTACTGCGCAGAACATCTTCAGCGACTCCCATGTTGACAGAGACGGAAGTCTCGCTTGTTGAATCAATGTAATTACAAGCGCCGGATGTAAGAATTTTAAATGTAAATATATAAAAATATCACGGCCTATGTTTGCAAATATACATAAATATATATATATGTGTTTGAGTTTCCAAAAATAGCAGTTTAAGTATGCTCTAGCATTTGTTAGACAGTTTGAGCATAGCTTATCTTAATGTGAAACCCTCTCTTCATCATGTGGAGCAGTGGCGTATGGTAGTTATGACGGTCCCTTGTGCACGCTCGTTACAGGTTATCAAGCATGCACACTGTGGGCTGGCCACTGTCTATAAAAAAAGCCAAATTAATCTAATTTAGGGAGCTTTGCTACCGTATCCTGTTTTTTTTCTGTCTTGTCTTTGCTCACTGCCCCTTTTATGTTTGAAAGGCACGACGGCTCGCTCTGCCAGCAGGTGTGTCAGCTTGTCTTGACAGATTTTCGCCTGAACTAGCCACCATATTCTTATATGGTATCATCTCGTCACATGATCAAATAGAGACATGACGGAGATAGTTTTTTTTCTTTTTGAGGGTATATCTATTGCAAATGGCATCATAATACATGGGTGTGTTTTCAAAGTAGTAATAGTAATCATTAAGTGTCCTATCTCTGCCATTTACAATGTAGAGGGGCCTTTTTGACACTTCTCCCTGTAAACTTTTAACAATGCTACTACACTTGAGGATGTCCTAGCACTTGAATTAGCCATTTTCTACACTGGAAAGATGATGAATATGCAGCCATGTTAAGGCAGTGTGAGACTGGCACTTGCATGGTCCTTGCAGCTGATGAGTTCTGTATCTATCACAGGCTCAAAGCCATGAGACAAATATAAACACAGAAATATTTGGAACTAAACATTTGGCCGCCTGTTGCCGTCGTCAGTTCAACTCAATTGAATACAATGCAACTGTTCTTGAATCACAGTTCAAAGATATGGCGCGAGTAACAGCAGCAGATTGAGATTAAAATAAAAGACGTGTAAACTCTATGTATTGAGTTTTTCAGTGAGTATTTTATAAGCTGCTTTGGAACTCAGCCCCGTTCAGCAGCTTGATTGAAGTGAGCTCAGCAAACACACTCTCTGAGAGTCTCAATCATGCTGGGCAAATTAGCACCTGACAACAAATGTACCAGCAGAACAATCCTTTTCAAAATCATTACTAATCAAAACTGTTTTTGTAGCAGCGGGTCAGAGAGGAGTGGGCTGACCATGCAGTGAACTGAGAAGATCAGATCTTGGGATGTGGATATAAAAGACACTGTTACGAAGTGCCAAGCTTCTCTGATAATAGGCGAGCAGTTGCTCTATCAAGAGGACTTGGTATAACCGATTGAGCCGTCTCAGCTAATGACTATGTTGGACCAATTCAACTGTTTTTTGGGATATAATTTGGGAAAAACTGCTGTGTGAAGGAATATCAGTGCTAGCATACAATATAGGAGCTGCACGTGTGTGCAGATCTGTGCTGTTCGTAGCCTCATTTTACTTACAATCGGTAGCTGATTTGTTAGTTAACTGGTTACTGTTTTTATGCCTATTGCATTGTACCCGTTTATTGACCATGCAGTGTTTTGCATTGAATTTGACTTGGGGAAGGGGGAACTCATTCACAGCCAATTACTGGTATAACTGTAGCTGCTACTGGTTTGGCATGTGGTATAAATAATAAAAAACCCGAACCAAAACATCCTTTGGGTTGTCCGTTGGTTGCCGTGGTCTCTTAAGCTTCAACGACCGAAATTATCCCCAATATATTCAAATGAACCCCTTTGCACTTAACTCTAAACAGTTAAAAACCACAATTTTACACCATATCTTTAAGCCTGAGCTAACGTCTGTCTTAAAAGTTTATCACATAGATTACCTAGGGCTTCAATATCAGTTGCTACACAACAAAACTGCAAAAAATGTACTCCAATTAAGCTGCCCCACACGAATTTCAAAGGCAATATTTAATATCCTCGCTCATTGTTCTTTTGCTCAAATGTTTCCTAGCAGCACTAGCAGACAATCTGGGAAAGGTGGCAGCTTTTGCCCTTGATTAGTTAAGAAAAACAAGTACTGTAGTGTTTGCCCACAGTGAGATATGCCTTCATTACAATATTGGTTATAATGGTAATTTACCATAGCACGGCTTTTAAAAACATGCGATTAGCAAGGCCATGCTCTAATTAGGAGCTGTAATAAGTTCTGATCTCATCACAGGGGTTAAAAGTGGATTATGGAGAGAGCTTTGAACTATGCTTTTAAAACACTGAAAGCAGTCACACTGTTGGGGCAGAGAGGTAAACCATCATCTAAATTAACTCCGGGGTTATCTGACTTTTTAATGTATAATCGCTTCAATGGCAAAGCGAGGACATTTGCAATAAGAAAAATGTAAAGTGCAAGTGTTGGTGAGTCATTGCTAATGTGTTTAAAAGGCTGGCTTCGAAATGGAACTGAGGGAAAATGCGTCGACACAGATAGATTAAGTTTGTCTGCAGGGACAAATGTGCACACACCTCGTGTGCCGTTAAAGAAGAGGGTCTGCCGGCGGGGATTCTGGATAACCACGATTGATCCATCGTAGTTCTGCAGGCGGCAGGAGATTTCGGCTGTACCTCCCTCCAAGACAGTCACATTCTCCGCCTGCACCGCCTGACAACGAGCTGAGGGACACAAAAGATGGACGTTAATATAGTGATACAGAAAGTGGGCGATGGAGAGGGAGGGCAAAAAAAAAAAGGAGAGAAGAGGAGAGGGAACAGAAAGGAGGAACAGATGTGGTGAAGAATATGTTCATTTGCACTGCACTTGAGATAGAACCTTTCAAAGTAAGGTACTTAAAGCATCCTTCATTTACCCGCTATTCATCATATGGACACAACAAGGGAGAAACGGAGAGGGGGGAGGAAAGGGGAGGAGGAGACAGAGTGAGATAAAGAGATTGAGAGCAAGAGAAAAGACACTGAAGGACTCAACAAGTAAAAGTGGGTCCTTATAAACAATGTATTCTTATGATTGTAATTACTGCTATTCATCCTTTTACATGCACAAACATTCACATACAAAAAGGCCTATTGCCTCTGGCTCGCCAAACAGAATGCATCAACACACACATTTGAATACATAATGCCTTATTAAATCCCTAAGTGACTGTCGGTCTTGAATTTAGACACGCACCAGCACACGCGCACACACACACACACACACACACACACACACACACACACACACACACGAATGGACACACAAACACAAACATGGCCACATATAGACCAAAACACACTCACACAAACAGACCACAGGTTGGACTGCGGCCCTGCCACCACCTGTGTGTACATTAATAGTTTAACATGCGGCCTTATCACATGAATCTTGGATCGGCTCAGTGGGAAAAGTGCAGAGAAGCGAGACCATTTTGACAGCCTCGAAGGCACTTCACACACTCTCAATGCCATTTCTCATCCAGGTGCAAGTTAAACCAATTGATTACACTCCATTATTCCAATGTAATGGTTCTTATGACAGGTATTTGGAAAGTGCTCGACGGGGGGGGAAATCACTCACCATTTTTGGCAACGAATACGCTCATACACACCTGTATGAACATTCATGTGTTCATGCACACACTCCAGCAAGTACACACTCAAGATGTACAGACACTCACAGGAACGTTTGGACATTCTCTTTCAAACAAACCTGTTGGGCCCTTAAACCCAATCTTTTTTTAGACAAGGGTGCAGAGCAACAGCAGGGAGCCTCTTTGATGTTGCTGACAGCCCAAGAGTCAGTAATGAGGAGGTTGATTACGCTCCGATTGGACGAGCCCTCCGTGTTTGTGGGTCAGACTGTTGACACGGCTCGGCTGAGTCACACCTCCTGCTGAGTGCGATGGACACCGAGCTACGCCATTCCCAGATTCACGCACAATTAGCCATCAGGCTCCAGCCAGCAGTGGAACGTGATTGCCTTGAAGAGAGCACCAGCTTGCCGGGCTCCTCAAACTAGTATTTACCAATTTGCATTCCTTCTCTCCCTGAAAAAGAATCTTGGCCCACGGGGAGAATTTAGAGAGAGATCGACGCCGATATTGAAGCGTGATGATGAAGCAGGCAATAAGAAGTGCAGATAAAGACGACGGGACCATATACATTTCACTGCCGGGTCTATCAGTGTCTCTGAGCTCTGTAAAGTACCTTCAGGAGGCAGGAAATGAGACAAACAGATGGTGGCTGCCATAGCAGGAGTTGCTGACTTGACTGCTTTGGGCGAAAATGGATGTCTATATCTGCAACCGAGTGTGTGCTGAGTTTCAGTCTGTGTGTGTGTGTCTACACACACATGCACAATAGGTGGGCATGTGCATTGGTTGTGCATATGCAAGGGCTGGCATATTGCAATTAAGCTGCTTTGACATCATCTGATCCCGCCAACTTCATCCAAATTTAATTCTCCCCTCGATTTTAATCTCTTTTAATGAAATAGTCAAAGCCTACATATTCATCACATCAGGGGTAACGGAGAGACACAGTGGATATTGAACTGAAGACGGAAAGAAACCAAGAGGGGATGAAGACAAAGGGGACTCTAATACTCTGGAACAGAAAAAAAAAATCTTGACAATTACCACTAATTGTAGTCATTATTGCTCCCATTCTCTGCATCAATATTGTGATTCATATCGGTGGCCATCAGAGCCTGCCACCGCCATCCCAATTATTTTTCTAATGGCTGTTATTAATCAGCACCATGGCAACCGGGCCAGGTCGCCATTGTTTTAAGCAGTGTTGGTCGTGATAGTCCTGCTGTGCATCCCAACCAAGCCAGGGCAGCGTCTGTGTGCGAATAGTGACCTGTCAGAACCAACAGAGAAGAGAGGGCTTCGAGTGGGAGAGCGACTCCCGACAAAGGAAAGCGGTCAAATGTTTGGTTCTGGGAGGAGGCCGGAAAAAAAACGAATTTGCTGTCCATTTGTACACCCAATTCTCCTGACAGCTGTCACCCCTTCAAAGGAAATTAGCTGCAGTGGTGTAGCAGTAACGTGCGAAGAAAAGCGACAAAGAAAAGTAGAATAAAAATAAATGTGTAAACCGCTGTTGCGAGCGGCATGACTGGCATCCGCTGTCTCCTGCTGAGAGATGCCACCCAGAAACACCTGCTGGCTGCTGGTGGATGATCAGTCTGGGCGAAGGGATAAGAGGCATGGAGAGACAGGGGGGGTGAAGGCTCTAATGATGGTTTGCGCATAATAACACAGCTGGCGGGGGCTGGACAAAATATACAAGAGATATGACGCATATTCTTCCACTCCCGCTCATAACGCAGCTGGGTACAGCACTTTAGTTTGACTGTAGGTTTTATAGGCCGCCATTCGCATCAAGGCCTTGAGCCTGTGCTTCTGATCACCGACATAAGTATAGTACAGAGAGGGAATGAGAAGGAGGGGGAGGGAATCAACCTCTGTGACAGAGGTATTAATCTGGACCCCATTAAAATCTATGCCCATAATAAAATACTGCACAAGCCCCGAATCATATTAAGAGAGAATGCTGAGCGCAATCGATACCGTGGTAGTGCACTGACTGCTATGATCAACGGATAAATAAAACAGGAGGGGGAACAACAACAATCACTTCTCTCTCCAACCAAGCGGGGGCAGTATTTCTTAGCAGTGAATTGGTGCTCCTCATCATTCCAGATGCCTATACCCCCGCTGTCACTGGGGAAAAAAGGAGCCTTTATTTACTACAGCAATACAGATCCAAGAAGGGCTATCATTTCAAAATACATAAACAAATAAATAAATAATAGGCGTGCAAATTCATAAGACAAGGCTGTTCAGGGGCCCTTCCTAATGGTCCCGCAATGGGGTTGAGTTATAAGCCGAGGGAGGCAGAGGGATAGAGGGACAGAGGGAGGGGATGAAGGGAGGTGTGGAGAGTTAAAAGAGGGGGATTTGGGAGGCAGCCAGGTGGACTGCTGGCTCACCCTTGGTCACGGTAAATTCTAGAAACTGCCTCACTGGTGCACGGTTAGCGGGCTGAATTACCGCCTTGCTGCGTCTCTCTCCCTCGGTTTCACTCTGCCCTTATGTCTCTCTCTCTCTCCCCACGTCTCGGAGAGTGAGGGGAGGAAGGGGTGGAGCAAAAAGACAAGCCACATAAGAGATGAGCCGTCTCCGTTTGCCCCAAACAAGGCCCCATGTATCCTTGAAGTAGTGCAGTCACTGTCTCCCTATTCATTATCTCTCATTATCTTTCAATTGGGAGCGGGCCAAGAGCTTGTGTTTTCTTTGTATGCTGGCCACGTATTTACAAGGGAATCGATGCAGGAGAATACAAAGCTTGACCCTGTATGCTATTACTGTTTTAATTAAAACAATGACAGCAGCTCATAGTTTCCAGTCTTATGGGGTCGTCCGTTGACAACTTCTCCATCTCTTCCCATCTAGATGTACATTTTTTCCAGTTATCCCCCCGAGTCTACGAGGCGAGCCGGTTTCCACAGTATGTATGCAAATGAAGTTTGCAATGTTTGTATGCGCGTGTATGTGAGTGTACGTGTATATGTACACTCGCTCCAGGTTAATCACAGAGTTTTGCGGTGTACTGACTCTACAAAATAGCTGACTTTGAGCTTCTTCTCCTCCATACCTCCGTCTGCAGACCCACAACTCTCCCCCATTCCCTCTCCCCCCTTTCTCTTACCAGTCTAAAATTATCACTCCATCTATCTGAGGGAGCCGGAACTCTACCAATCAAAGCCAGTGCAAGAAAAAAACTCCCTCTATAAATAATACAAAATCCTTAACAAATCTCATTCTCGTCTTTCTCTTTACCTTCGTCGCTTTCTCCTGTCCTTCTTTTCTTCCCCTATTTTGAGCAAACCCCCCCACCCCTGCTGCCACTTAGTCCACAACTCATTATTCCCCCCCCCCCCCCCCGCTGCGTCCGTGTCTAATTTCTCACCATCTTCCTCTTTCTCCTTGTATTTAAACCCACAGTATCTCAATCCCTCTCCTCCCCACCTTCTGCCTGATCTAATCCTTGATTCATCTTCCCTTCATCAGTCCCTTTTCCTTTCTTCCTGTCTTCTTCCTCCTTCTCTTCTCCCTTATCTATTATTGCATATTATCCTCATCAGCGCTGTCCTGAAGATCCTCTGTCTCCCTCCTGGGCCTCAGGAGAATTGTTGCAACTCTTTTCTATCTCTCTCCCGTTAGCTGCTGTCTCACTCCTGTCCCCTTCTTCATGTTGTCCTCCCCCCTCTTCTTCAATAGTTTCCTTCCAAGCTGCAATAGGCTTTCATCCCCCTTGCAATCTCTCTTTCTCTTTTTCTGACTCAGTGGGAATCTTTTCCTGCCTCTTTGCTGGTTCTATCTCCACTCTCTCCTTTGCTAAATGTGATTTGTTCTGCAGCTCAAGTCTGCAGCATAATCGCTCTGTTTTTATAGTGTGTCAGGAGAGCGGAAGCGAGGGAGAAAGGGAAAGACAAAAAAAAAAGTGAGAGGAGTGAATGGACAAGAGGACAAAACAAAGGATTGGAGCGGGAAACTGAATATCTCCATCTTTCAACTTCTTCACCACTTTTGCTTTTTTTAATTGCCAGTTGTTTAGCTCAGCCCCCTCTCTCTCTCCCCCTCTCCCCTCTCCCTCTCTCTCTCTCTCTCTCTCTCTCTCTCTCTCTCTCTCTCTCTCTCTCTCTCTCTCTC